CCCAAAACCCCAAAACCCCAAAACCCCAAAACCCCAAAACCCCAAAACCCCAAAACCCCGAAATAGTCTAAACTGCTTGAACTTTATAAACTAAAGGATTAAATTATTCCATTTCCTCATCAATTTCTTGTTCAGATTCATATTCATCATCTTCTTCATGATGTTGGATGTCTTGCTGGCTTTGTACAGCTCTTAAGTTTTTATTACTGGACTGAGAACTTTTTATTGGCCTTAAATGAATAGCAGATCCTGATCTATGTTTCTTTGTCTTCTTAATATGTTCCTTAGCAGCATTAACTCTGACCATTTCTTCGATGGTCCTATTCTTCCTTGCTTTCTTACTATTTCAAATCTCATTTACAATAGCTGGACTAAATGAATTCCAAACAGTCATATGATACAAGGCATTCTTAATGTCTTGCCTTTGTTTTTCCATATCGCTCAAAGCTTGGGTTCTAACGTTCTTCAAATCGTATTTCTGTTCAGCCATTGCTTCAATTTTCATATCTTTCAAAGCTATTTTAGCTCTCATCTTGTCTTCTTGATATTTTATCTTCCTCTGGAACCTCTTTTTATTGTAGAATTTAGATTGGTTATTTAATTGAATGAACTCTCTTCTCAATATCTCCCTTACACGCTCCTGTTCCTTGAGTTTTTCAAGCCTTTTATCCGCCTCCTTCTGCTTATCTAACCAGATATTAATTTTCTTAGCCATTCTTTCCTCAGCCTGTTTAAGTATTCTATCTTTCTGCTCATTCTTTTCTTCGGCTTGTCTTTGGATGTCACGTAAAGCTTTAGCCTTCTCTTTCTTTTTAGCTAAATCTCTCTCATGGTCTTGCTGTTGCTTTTTCAAATATCTAGCTAAATCTCTTTGCTCCTGTTCTTCCTTAGCTTTAAAAATTTGCTGAATCTTCATGCGTTTCTCAATAGCCTTTTGTTTCGCTTCCTTTTTCTTCTGTAGATGGAGTTCTTTAGTCTTCTTCATCTGTTCATTATATTTTTCATTCATCTTCTTCATCCTTCTCTCATTTTCTTCTAGATGCTTCTGTTGTTGCTGCTCTCATTTCTTAACCTTTTCTAAACGCCTTTGCTCTTTAAGTTTTAATTCCTGCTCTTTAGCTTTTCTTTCCTTTTCAGCTTTTATCTCTTCCAATTTCTGGTCTTTGAGGTTTTGTTGAAACTTTTTATGGCTTTTATTTCCTTTCCTTCTTCTCTTTCACGGTTTCCTCCTTCTCTTGTCTGATTTCCTGAACCATTTTATTTTTCATTGGCTATCTTTAACTGCCGTTTGATTTGGTTATTTCTCTTAGCTTCTTGCTTACGGAGATACTCAAATCTAGCTTCCTTTTCTTCTATTAATTGATTTTTGCGCTCTTCGTTTATCAAATATTTTTCAAACCTCTTTTGTTCCTTTTCTTTAATTCTTTTAATCAATTCCATTTGTTTTCTAGTGACTTCTTTGTCCTTGTTCATAGCATCTCCGATGAGAGCTGAAGATTTCATGTCTAAATTGGATCGTACTGATTTAGATGTTTGAACACTTCTTCCAGAGAGGAATTTGCCATTAGATGTCTGGTACTGAGTAGAGCCAGCCATTGTTGGGTGATCATATGTGCTTCTGTCTAGCTCCTCAATAAGTTTATCTCTTCTAGATTTTATTAAGTCTATTAATTCTTTTCTCTTATTTTCATGAAATTCATAACGTAACTCCGCCACTTCTGGGGGCAGTCCAGGCTCTCTGAATTTAGATTTAGGAACATGTAAAAGCTCTTTGACCATTATTCCTTCTAACTTACATGCCTCTAGACTCCTAGGAGAATTTATTCTCTTGGTTCCCATAGGATCAAAGTCAGCAATAGATATACAATCGTTGTTAGAATTCTTATGCTTCTCTTGCACTTGAGCTAACTCTTCTGTCTCAGGCTCTCTTTGAGTCTGAGCTCCATTCCTAGCCGCAGGATTTGGAGAAAACTCTTGTGAATATTCTTCATCACTCATCTTTTTATTTATAAAAATTATTTTATATTTCCACAAATTAATCTCAATTCTTTGCTGTGTAATGGGGTTTTGGGGTTTTGGGGTTTTGGGGTTTTGGGG